TGTGTGTGTGTGTGTGTGTGTGTGTGTGTGTGTGTGTGTGTGTGTGTAATTTGAACTTAAAACACCGCCTACTTCCTAATTAAAGCCATACTGCCCTGGAGGAGAGGAAGTGCCACTGTGCTGTGGAGGAAGGTCACATGTTTTATACCTTGGAATCTGTCCAGAGTGAGGGGGGAGGGGAACCAACTGGCATCCTGCTTTATGCTCCTCATCCTGCCTTTCGCCTCACATAGCCCCCCCTCCCCCATCCCAGGGCAGGACAGGGTGAGTCATGTTTGTTTGTCTTTCCTTAGAGCCCCTCTCCCAGCACCCTTGGGAAAGGAGAGTCTAGAGGCGCTTTCTTACCAGGCTTGCTGACCCCCGCACCATGGCCCAATGCTGCTCCTCAGGTGAGCGGGCACCAGTTCCCTGTGCCAGGAGAAAGGGAGAAAAGAGGGTGTCATGGAGGCCAGCTCCCTCAGGGGTTTCGGACATGCAAAGAACAGTGGTAGAATGGCCGTGGCTCTGGCCAAAGCCCACAGCACCAGCACTTCAGCCTGCACTGCATTAGCCTGTGTGGGGCCTGGCCCTTCATCTGTTGACAGGCTGCTGTCCATGAAGAACTTGATTAGAAGGTTGTGGGCTGTGTTCCGAAGCTCCTGTGGCTTCAGGAACTTATATCAAATTGAAGCTGTGTAACTTGTTTCTGCTAAATCTGAAGATTGTCTTTAGCTTTCTCCCTTAAGGGAAATGCCATTGCCTCTAGGGTCCCAGAAACCATCTTTGTTGAATCACCCGCATTCCTTCTTGGTACTGCTGTCTGGGAAAAATACGGATATCTGTAGCTGAAATAATAGAGTTATCCATTCACCAGGAAAAAAAGAATCCTTGAGTATTTATTAAAGATAAAACAAATTGAAAAAGAGAATCCCCTAGGATATTAAGCACTAAAATAATTGTGAAAGCCTGAAAAACCGACTGTTTCAGCTAAAACAAAGACAAGAAAGATATATGTTAAGTAATAAAAATAGTACTTGTTTGAACATGTAAATTGTTTTTAATAAAATTGCTTCTTAGGGGGATAGGAGGAAATGCTTAAGCACAGGACAAATGTTCTAATACGTCGCAGCTTTGCACACCCAGGGCTGAGTGGCTTGGCTGATGAGAATTATGGGTGTCAAGTGCTCAGTCGGCACATGCCACACGTTTGTTACGTGTGATTGTGTACAGGAATTACAGCACATACGCAGATACTAATTATGAAAAAGGGTCTGTATACATTAAATTTAAAGCGTAATCACATCGTAGCTTACTATAGACAAAACAAGTTCGCCAGCTGGCATAGACTAGAGGGAACCTTTATTTGGTGGGGGTAAGGAAAAAAAACTTAGTGTTTACCTAATGTAGTTTGGTAGGCGAGAGAGAGTGGTGTGTGTGTGTGTGTGTGTGTGTGTGTGTGTGTGTGTGTGTGTGTGAAGAGAGAGAATTGAAATCGTCTGACAGAACGTCCTTGCACCTCTAAGGGGTATGCAGAATGAGAGAAGCCACTGCGCTGCTGTCCTCTATGGTGCAGACACAGAATGCGTCATAGCCAAGCTCTCTCTGAAGAGAATGCAGCATGGCCAGGCCCAGTGCTTTCCCTATGGCTGGGTAGTTCAACCTTCCCACAATGTCTGTGCAGTTCTTGCTAAGAAGGATTTTTCTTTTAAGCCTGTTAATTAATGACATCACGATGTGCTTTGGTGGCCGCCTTTGGTGCCTATCCTTCTGAGAGAGTGCGTGGCTCACATTTTTTTTTCCAGCTGTTTTTCTCCTCCACAGATCACTGGTAGGTGGGCATGCTAGCCCTGTCAGCTGCCCTGCTTCCTGGCTGCCCGGCTCTGAGCTCAGAAGCATGTTTGTTTATTTGATAAAGGCTGTGGGTTGTTTAGCTGGCCTGCGCTTTCTCGCTGTGTCTGCCGCTGTCAGGCACTGCACAGGCTTGGCAAGCACCCACTCCCGCTCCAGCGGGCTCCCAGCAGCTCTGACTGTCTGCTTGTTTCTTTGCAGCAACAGCAGCAGCAGCAACAGCAGCAGCAGCAGCAGCCGCCGCCACCGCCTCCGCAGCCGCAGCCGCAACCCCAGGCAGGCCCCAGGCTCCCCCCACGGCAGCCCACCGTGGCCTCATCCGCAGAGTCTGATGAGGAAAACCGGCAGAAGACCAGGCCACGAACCAAAATTTCCGTGGAAGCCCTGGGGATCCTTCAGAGCTTCATCCAAGACGTGGGCCTGTACCCGGATGAAGAAGCCATCCAGACTCTGTCGGCGCAGCTGGACCTCCCGAAGTACACCATCATCAAGTTCTTTCAGAACCAGCGGTACTACCTGAAGCACCATGGCAAGCTCAAGGACAACTCCGGCTTGGAGGTGGATGTGGCGGAGTACAAAGATGAGGAGTTGCTGAAGGATTTGGAAGAGAGTGTCCAGGATAAAAGCACCAACACCCTTTTCTCAGTGAAACTAGAGGGCGAGCTGTCGGTAGACGGGAGCACAGACATTAATGCCGACTTGAAAGACTGAGAGACAAGTGTTAACTTCAGCGGTACCACTCGCATTTACTAACAAAACGAAAAGCCCACCTTGTGTTCGCTCAGAAGCCCTTCATTGTTTATCGTTTGGCCAATGAATCTTCAGAAACTTGCACAAACAGGAAGTTGGAAGGACAGGACAGACTGCACTCAAGGTTTTACTCTGTTTTACAGACTGCTTGGCAGCCCCGGGTGAAGCATCAAGGATTGTTTGATGGTAGAGTTTGTGTTCAAGGGCCGCACCGAGGTGTCGCACCCTGTCAGCATGATACCAGAGATTGGTTTTCCTTTTAATTATTATTATTCTGGAGCCTCAAATAAGCATTATAACTTCTGTGATTATGATTGCCTTTCCTTTAATTATTTCTGTAACACTCCACACTGGTCTTTGGAAACTGGCCCCTTATTTTAAAGAGGAAAAGGAAAAAAAAAAAAAAAAGAGTTTGTTACTCGAATTGTATGTTAAAAAAGAACTATAGACTGTGGAATGCAGTTAAAGATAACATATGCCAACAAATGCCTTGTATTATATGGCACTGCCGTAATTAAAATTTGTTTTTTATTTTGGAAATAAAAGTTCACTGTACTTTTTTTTTCATGCTCATTGTTACTTTTTTTTTTTTTTTTTAAGGGAAAGAAAATGTGAAACACAATTTAGTCCTCGTTATTTATTTGTAGATCCTGCAACATCACGTTGTAATTAAGTTTTTGGAAATTTCTGTTAAGTGTAATGTTGCTTCTCTTGTTATCATACTGATTTCCTTTCTATTTATAACTGTATTTTGATGGGCAGTAAAACAAAGTGTCTTAAAAGTTTTAAATAGAGAAAATGTGCTTTACACAGTTGCCTATAAAAGTCTATGTTATCCAAGCAATTCACTCTAGAAGCTTCACTCTTGTTGTTGTATGCAATTTTTACTATCATGCAAATAAGCTTAGGTAAATAAAACTAATAGATCACCTTAGAAAATTATGCAATTAATGTGAAAATAATTGATGTTTGCAATGTGTCTTCCTTTGGTTTACAATCAATTTTAAAGCGACATCTGTATAAAATTTCTGTATAAAGGTGTATTTCTTTTTTTATGAGTTTATGACTATGAAAACACCAGCTATTTTGTTACAGCTGCTGTTTTTATAAGTGTATCACAATTTTCTTTATGCAGAAATGTGCTGATTAGGAGTGGCTATTGACTGTAACTACACGATTAAAATTGTTTGTATGGTATGCCATGGCAGGGTTTGTCTGCTTATGTGAAGTAACTTTAGCCAAGCTCAAGGACGGCCGTGTCACGTAGGTACATTGCTGATGCTTTCTTCGTGGTAGATGGCGGGCTCAGAAAAGAGCAACTGCGCTCTCCCCTGAAACACTGCATGCAATGCACATACATGCACATTTCTAAATAGGTGTGGAAGTTGACAATGCAGGTAATCTGCTTTGCTTACTACCCAGGACAGTCAAAGACCTCCACAGAGTTACTGCTGTAGTCTTAAGTACTTGGAAAGGCTATATCTGCCTTTTCCTCACAATCCTGCAATTATGGCAACACTTTTCTTTAAGCTAGAGTGTCTTCTTAAAAGCCATTAATAGTAGTATAACTGAGGGACCCTCTGTGTGAGAACCCTCCATATTAAGCATTTAGGGGAAGGAAGGGGTGTTGTGGTTTGGATTTTATTTGTTTTACAGGTTATACATAGGGAAGGTAGTAAGTAACCCTGAGTTCCTTTGGCTGCCATTGTCAAAACTGAGAACTACCTGGAGAAAATCAAAGTAATAGCCTGGCAATTCAAATGCCATTTCCAAACTGCTGCTGCCCAGTGGCAGGCATGCTGTGCTCCTAGGAAAACTTTTGGGGTTTTTGTTGTTGTTGTTGTTCTTGTTTTTCTTTGTATCCCTTTTTGGAGTTCCTTAACTGTTAATGGAGGGATGTTCATGGAGCCAGGGCGCTGCACTTCACGTCTTCCTGAGGAGCGTTTCCTCAGGCCTGGTGAGCTCATGTTTGGAGGCCGCAGGACCCTCCTATTGGTCTAAATCAGGCTCCTTGGAAACACCACTAACGCTTTATTCTGAGCAACTGCTTTGTAGCAAACTCATTTCCTATCCTTTTTATTAAGTGAGAAAACAGTGCAAACTTTGTTTCCTGAGGTTCAGAAAAGTAATTATTTGGGCCAAAGGCATTTGAATTAAAATAATGCAAGCTAAATTTCAAATGTTAAAATAAAAAAGCAGAAAACAACTAGCAATGCCACTAACTAAAGATTATCACCCACGGTCTCCTTTTCCCCAGGTTTGAAAGGGTCAACAGAACATCAAGTAGAACTGCTGTCATTTTTTTTCTTTAAAACAGCCCAGTGCTCAAGATCAATACATAGTTTTTTGAGGAGGAGAATCAGGTTGCAAATAAGATTTTTCCAATTCCTAACAGTCTGAAATAATTCTTTTGAAATGGTATTTTCTAGGAAACAAGTGTGTTGGAAAGCAACACAGTTGTGCCAGCAAAATGATGGGATGTTTTAACTTTAAGGTCAGTGTGCATTTATGTTACTTTAGGATGAAGCACATGTTAGCAAACCATCCGTGATGGTCATGACTGTGGGCAAAACTGTTGAAGACAGCCTATTTGGGAAGATGTCTCCTAGAGATCCCTGTTGTTCCTCCAGTGCCACGGAGGAACACGGTCACCCAATTCTCTCTTCTCTTGTTGCCCGTGGCTATTGGTGAGATGCCTTTAACAGCCTTCCTTGTGTCCCAGTGTTTCAGAGATGTTTGAACGCTGGGCAGGACATAGTGCTTCGTGCTGATAAGATGTTAGCGGAGTCAGGTAGTTTCCGGG